CCGAAGCCACCGAGAAGATCCTCGACCAACATGATGTCGGCTTCCAGCACGCAGTCAGGCAAGCTTACCATTTCTGTGAGGTCTCGGTTGATTTTCAATTTGATGTTAGCCGGGACTTCTTAGGTGGTAAGTTTATAAGTTACGCTGAGTTCCCTCAAGGGGCCCAGCCTGACGCCGAGGCCCCTCATCAAGGCATTTCCAGCCAATCTCAAGTACGGACGACCGAGGAGGAGGAGCCGATCATTGATGTGGTCGGCGATGGGAATCCGGCGGACTCGACAGCAGTATAGGGGTCGGCTCTGGTAGTGTTAGAATTAGGACTTTTTGCTTTTGTAACCGGGCCATTAGCACCTTTTGTGATTATGATCATTGGTGCCGTTATAATTGGATTTTTTTGTGTAGGTAGCCGGATTGGTCGGCCATACTTTAATGGAATTTCTCTTTTTTGCCATGTTTTATAAACGCCTGATAGTAAAAATAAACCGACTTCATACTTGGCCGAGGGGGCCAATTTCGCGATTTGATCGGTGATTGAAGCGTGGTGTTTGATTGTTTGGTTAGAGAGTATTCGGTCTACGTGGTTGGCCGCGAAATCCAACTATTTGATGCGAATTGCTGAGTGCGCGAGAGTTTTCGGTTAAAGAGTGTTTCTGTTGACCGAGGGTTGCTCGGCGTCGGTGTGCGCCATAGTGTTCGGCCTAGGTGCATCCTTAGTCGAGGAGGGTACTCGGGAGGGAAACCTGTTGGGCTCGAGTGCACCGTTTGAGTGGTCGACCGAGGATTGCTCGGTGTCGGCGCGTATTGTGCGACGTGTTCGGCCTAGGTGCATCCTTAACCGAGAGGGTACTCGGGAGGGAAACCTGTTGGGCTTGAGTGCACTTTCGAGTGGTCGACTGAGGATTGCTCGGTGTCGGCGCGTATTGTGCGAAGTGCTCGGCCTAGGTGCATCCTTAGCCTAGGAGGGTACTCGGGAGGGAAACCTGTTGGGCCCGAGTGCACTTTCAAGTGGTCAACCGAGGATTGCTCGGTGTCGGCGCATATTGTGCGAAGTGCTCGGCCTAGGTGCATCCTTAGCCGAGGAGGGTACTCGAGAGGGAAACCTGTTGGGCTCGAGTACACTTTCAAGTGGTTGACCGAGGAATGCTCGGTGTCAGCGCGTATTATGCGAGTGGATCTGCATGAGTGCGACTTAAACGTATATAATAAAAAACAGGAAATGGCCTGATGAAATTTGAAATTTTTATTAATGAAGTGCCTCGTTAAAAATGTTGCCGACCCAAAACCCTCCTTAGGGAAAAAAGAGTCGGTCAAGGAAAAGAGTGCACTAATACATCAGCTGTAATACACTTTTAAATGTGAGGAGTTCCAAGTTCTTGGAATTGGTACTCCTGATAGGTACTCCAACTTGTATGCCCCGTTGTTTAGGTTGTGTCGTATTCGGAAAGGTCCGTCCCAATTTGGGGCAAGTTTCCCTTGTTTCAAATCTTTTCTCGCCTCGCCTGTGGCTCTCCAAACAAGATCTCCTTCTCGGAATTCTCTAGGCTTCACCTTGCTATCGAATCTTCTCTTGTAGCGTTGTTTGGTAGCCTCGGCCACTATTAGTGCTCGGTCTCGAATTTCTTCCACCATGTCTAGGTTTGTTCGAAGCTCGGCCTCGTTGCTTGCTTCATCGAAGTGGGCTCAGCGGAATGATGGTTCTCCGATTTCTACCAGAATCATCGCATCGGACCCGTAGACTAGGCGAAAAGGGGTTTCTTGCGTGGTCGACTGGGGCGTGCATCGGTAGGCCCAGAGTACCTCAGGCAGCTGCTCGGCCCATGTTCCCTTTGCTTCCCCTAGCCGTTTCTTCAATTCTGCTAGGATGACTTTATTGGCTGACTCGGCCTGACCATTCGTTTGTGGGTGCTCGACTGATGTGACCTTGTGCTGTATTCCTAGGCCGGCTAGGAACTCGTTGAGTTTTCGGTCGGTAAATTGGAGGCCGTTGTCGATCACCAGGGTGCGTGGGACGCCGAACCGGGTGATGATATACCTCCACAAGAATTTTTGGACTTAATGAGCCGATATGCACGCCAAGGGCTCGGCTTCAATCCATTTGGTAAACAGATCCACGGCAACAATGAGGAATTTGCATTGCCCCTTGGCAACTGGGAAGGGCCCAGGTATGTCAGCCCCCCATGTGGTGAACGGCCATGCTGGGGGAATGCAATGTAGCTGCTCGGCAGGTTGGTGGATTAGGTTGCCATGTTTTTGACATGGTTGACACTTCTTCACAAACGTTGCGCAATCGGTGTTCATGGTCGGCCAATAGTACCCGGCTCGCAAGAGTTTCGAGACAGTTGTCCTCGCTCCTGAGTGCATTCCACAAATGCCCTCGTGTACTTCTCTCATCACGTAATCGGCCTCGACGGGGTCTAGGCACTTGAGTAGCGAAGTGGAGAAGCCACGTCTGGATAACAGACCGGTGATGACGACATATCTGCTGGCCTATGTTTTCAACCGTTTGGCCTCGATCGGGTCGGCCGGCGAGATGCCATCGGTGATGAATGCCTTGATTTCGTTTCGCTAGTCGGGTGGGCCGCTATGTTCGGGATGGTCGGTATCAACACTTGCTACCACTTGCGCTTCGACACTAGGGTGGTCGACTTCTTGCTGAATGATGGTTCTTAGTTGGCCTGGCTTCTTGGTTGCGGCCAACCTAGCCAACTGATCGGCTCGGGTGTTGTCCTCGCGCGGGGTGTGCTCGACCAATACCTCTTGAAAGTTTGCCTTCAACTTTTGGTAGGCATGGTAGTACTTCATCATGTCGTGATCTTTCACCTGGAAGTTATCGCCCACTTGCTCAACCACAACCTTGGAATCGGTCAGACATTTGATTCTCGAAGCACCCATGTCTTCGGCCAATCTTAGTCCGGCCAATAGGGCTTCATACTCAGCTTGGTTATTCGTAGCGTTGAACCGAAAGCGGAGAGATTGCTCCAAAACTATCCCTTTAGGTCCCTCCAGGATTACTCCTGCCCCGCTCCCTTGGCAATTTGAGGAGCCATCCACGTGGAGGGTCCACCAACACTCTTCGAATTGGCCATACGGGTGGAGTTCATTCACGAAATCGGCCAGACATTGAGCCTTGATCGGTCCCCTCGGCTTGTAAGCAATGTCAAATTGTGAGAGCTCAACTGACCACGCCATCATTCTTCCGGCAAGTTCAGGCTTGCCTAAGACCTTTGAGACCGGGCAGTCGGTGTGGACCACTACTTGGTGGCTCTGGAAATAATGTCGTAGTCATCGAGAAGTATGTACTAAACCGAGCGCGACCTTTTCAATCAACTGGTATCGAGTCTCGGCGTCTTGTAGTAGCCGGATGATGAAATATATGGGAGCTTGGGTGCCTTCTTTTTCTTGTACCAAAACCGAGCTGATTGCCTCCTCGAATACGGAAAGGTACACCAGGAGTGGGCTTGATGGCTCGGGTCTCGTGAGTATCGGCGGCGTCGCCAACATCGTCTTCACGCCCAGGAAAGCAGCCTCGCAGGCTTCGTCCCACACGAAAGCCGAGCTCTTTCGCAATAGCTTTGTCATCGGGTTAATCTTATCAGCCAGGCGGGGAAGGAACCTGGATAGAGCAACTAACCTCCCGGATAGGCGTTGTAATTCCTTGAGGTTGCTCGGACTTCGCATGTTTAGCACGGCCTGGCACTTGTCTCGGTTCGCCTCTATTCCTCTAGCTGATAACATGAACCCTAGAAATTTTCCCCCCTTGACCCTGAAAGTGCACTTCTCGGGGTTAAGTCTCATGTTGTGCTTGCCTAGTTCGCCGAAGATTTTGGCCAGGTCCGCAATGCGGTCGGCAACGGAGTTGGACTTGACTACCATGTCATCCACATAGATTTCTATGTTTCGCCCTACTTGCCCTTGAAACACCTTATCCATCAACCTTTGGTAGGCTGCTCCGGCATTCTTCAATCCGAACAGCATCACCTTGTAACAAAAGTTGGCGTTCTCGGTGATGAATGCGGTTTTCTCTTCGTCGGTCGGGTGCATTCTTATCTGGTTATAACTAGAGTAGGCATCGAGGAAACTGAAGATGGAGTGCCCGGATGCGCCGTCGACTAGTCGGTCGATGCATGGGAGTGGGTATGCATCCTTGGGGCAGGCTTTGTTGAGGTCGGTGTACATTCTCCATTTTCCATTTGCTTTTTTGACTAACACCACATTAGCCAGTCAGGTGGAATAGGTGACCTCTCTGATGAACTTAGCTTGCAACATCTTTTTCACTTTGGCATTTACGGCTTTCCGTTTCTCTTCACCCATTTTTCTTTTCTTTTGGGCTACTGGTCGGGCGTCTCGGCATACAGCAAGTCGGTGGCAGAGAAATTGTGGGTCTATTTCGGGCATGTCCGATGCCATCCATGCAAACAAGTCTTTGTTGTCTCAGACTGCTCGTTTTACTTGGCTCGAATCGGCTTCACTCTGTTGGGATCCCATCTGAGTGACTTGTTCGGGTGCACGGCCAAGTTGAAACGGAACCAAGTCTTCGGCAAGCTCGATTCGTTCTTCTTCACCTAACCGAGGATCAAGGTCGATGCTCTCGGTCATCTCCTGTCTGACCACATTCACACCTCTCGTTGTCGTCGAGAGATCGACAATAGGTTGCACCTTCAAACTAGAGAGGTAGCATTCTCTTGCTGTCTTTTGGTCGGCGTGCACGGTTATCACTTGCATAGGTGAGGGGTTGATACAATGGCCCCTAATGTATTAATTGAGGGTCAGCCCAGCAGGATGTTGTACGACATGTTTGCATGCACAACAATGTAACGGATTTTGATCTCCCGGGAAGACTTTTGATCGAAGCCAAAACGTGTGTACAGATCAATGCACCCTCTCATCATCACCTTTTCTCCAGAGAAACCTACCAGCGGTTCATGATACGGGTCTAGGCTTTCCTCAGGGATCCCTAGCTGTACAAAGGTGTTCCAATATAATATGTTGGCCGAGCTCCCCTAGTCGACCAAGGTTTTCTTCACAATGCAGTTGTGTATTTCGACCGAAATGACCATAGGGTCGTCTTGCACGGGGTCAACGCCACGAAAATCTCGATCGGAAAAAGTTATTGGGGGTATCGTAGGCGTCTTTAGTTGATTGACGCTGTTGATGGATCGGACAGCTCGGAGGTGTCTCTTTCGTGCCGAAGAGGTGGCGCCTCCCCCGGTGAAACCTCCGGCTATGGTATTTATTACCTTCCTTGGTCGGTCGGTTTCGTCACGGGAATGCCGTGGGTGGTCCCTCCTTTCCGCTGATCGGGATCGGTGGCGTCGGTCTCTCGACGGTGACGTTTCCCGAGGGTGACAGTCTCTCCCCCTTGACTGGTGGCCTTGGGGAGTGACAAAGCTCCTGAGGTGACCTTGTTTGATTAGGTCCTCGAGTTTGTCTTTCAGTGTCGAGCATTCTTCAGTTGAGTGCCCCCTGTTTCGGTGAAATCGACATGTTTTAGCTTTGTCTGCTCTAGGGGGTGTGTTTGCCCTTTTCAGCATCACTAGGATCTCTGATGCAAGGGCCTGCTCCATCACCTTGGCCCACTCGCGTTGAGGGGAGTGTACGTTGTGTAATGTGGTCCTCTAGGGGGTCGAGTATTTAAGGGTTCGGCGTTCGTCTTTTTCATCGGCTCTCGGCCAGGTTCTTTTCGGCTATAACCCTCTTCGACTCTAGCTTGACTTCGGGTCTCCGCCAGCTCCTCCATTTGCATATAATTCTCGGCTCGGCGTCGGAGATCATTCATATCAACGGGTGGCTTCTTGCACAAGCTATTCACGAATGGTCCCGGCTTGAGGCCAGTGCTCAACCGATCCATTGCCACGGTAGGGTTAAGGTCGCCGATCTCTATTACGATTTTGTTAAATCGGTCCATGAAACTTCTCAATCTCTCTTTCTTCTATTGACGAACCCCCACTAGGGCTAACGAGGTCGTCTTGTACGGCTTGCTCGTCGCAAACTGAAGAGTGAATTGGGATGACAACTCATTGAACGAGTCGATAGAAGCGTTCGGCAACCTCGTGAACCAACTCAAGGCCCTTCCTTTCAGCGACGTGGGGAATATTTGGCATAGGGCGGAGTCATCCTGGGTAGAGAGGGTTGCTTGCGTTAGGAAAACATTCATGTGTTCTTCGGGGTTGGTAGACCCATCGTACTTCTCGATTGGGAGGCTCTTCCAATGGTCTAACAGGGTTGCCTCCATTATCCTTCGGGAAAAAGGATGCCTTAAGGAGTGAGTGGTGGTGTCGGCCTTGTTGCCCACCAAAGAGGTGACTGGTGCTCGGGTCACATGGTCAGTTGGAGCATGATATGCGGACTCCTCTTGAAGAGTGGGAGTCGACGACACATAGGTCTGATTAAGGCTTCAGAGCTCGGCGTTTTGTCGGCGCAGTTCAGCCAACTCCTTGGCATCGGCTTCTCTCTGTCTTCGGATAGCGGCCATTTCCTCGCGCAATGCGCGCAAGTCATCTTGGAGGTCGGGTTGGGCTCGGTCGATGTTCGGCTGGACCTCTTGTATCACAGGTTCCGGTTGTGTTTGAGGCATTCCGTACGGGTAACGTTCTTGGTTGGTCATGACGGGATTGTTTTCGGGGTTAGGGACCGGTTGGGTCGTTGTTGATTGTCCTTTGCGCGTTACTACCATGTCTTGGTCTCAGTCGTAGAGTTCAAAGGGGCTGAAAACATCTCTTCGGCCCCACAGTGGGCGCCAAATGTTCCTGTGTTAGGATACACACTTCAATTATCCTTGCTGTAGCGGGTCAGATCCTGGGTCTCGATCTTCTCGTTTCTATCCGGGTAGTACAATGTGAGGAAGGTGTGCCTGCAAAGACATTTCAATGCTCAAGTAAGTGCTCGGCGTAATAAATGCGGTAGTTGAAAGTTAGCTACATACCTCGTTGGGGTCCTATTTATAGTGGTTCTTATTGGGTCGTGATTAAGGATTGGGCTCCGGGAAATTAGGGGATTAATCCGGTGCATTACGTAAATTAACCTCTCCGTAATCATCCTGGCGTAAATGCGGGGCTTGGCCGAGCACACCGACACGTCCTGTTCAGCTTGTGAGTGGTCGGTGGGCTCGGGTATTCGGTCTGATCTTTCAAGCTTTCGGGTATTCGGTCAAGTCGGCCATGGACTCGGGCATTCGACCTAGTCGGCTACCATAAGGTATAATTAGAATGTAACATCCCTGTTAATTACCATGGGAAAGATAAAATCTGTCATTTCTGTTGCTTCCTTTCCACTGTTATATTGTATAACTTTTAAGGTTTGTGACCACTTTTGGGTAGTTGAACATTGAAAATTAAAGAACATAAAATACATTTGAGGACAGATCTTTAGAGAACCTGAGAGAAAAAAGTGATCTGAAACAAAGTCCATAAAAATTTGTATATGATTAAGTGTTTTGTAATGAAATCATCTTTATTCTTACAGTATATTGTTATTTGTTACTGTTATTAACATTTTTCTTGATGTGTTTTAAATTAGTGTTAGTTAGTGAAAAGCTGACTCTATTTATTACCCTCCCTGTAGAGGAGATAGGGGTTGGTGGAACCTAACAACATAAATCAAAATAAATATCAACTGCTGCATGGTTTCTCTTCTCGAACAAAGTTGTGTTAGATGCAGGCTTATTATACAGCTGTCTCACATCTTGAAATTTTCATCAATGGCCCTCTGGATTCTTTTTTTGTAACAACAAAAATTTACTATAGCTTTTTTATTTATTACCCTACATTTTTCACAGTGGTTTGCTAATGGCAACATATACTTTGACATGTTTTCAAACAGACAATATATCACCTATTTGTAGTTTCTTTGTTTCATTTGCAGCAAATCTAATACAATATAACAAAACAGCAAATTTTATAATATTCTATTATTATATCATATCTCAGCTTTGTTAACCAATCTAAATTGAAGCTTTTAATTATTTTTTTTCCTTCTATTACCCCAGAAGCATAATATGTAGGTAGAGAGTTAAATTTAATTTTCTATGAAAACGACAGGAATTTGCACAGATGTTGTATTTAGAGATACAATATCCTCACAGGTTGCAGGGTCTATTGTATTTTAATGTATGATGTATGTAATTGAACCTCAAACTATCTGCATTTATGTGGTCAAAAGGAGGCTTAAATTGCTTTATAGTTTGAAAGCAACTCTTCATCATTTCAAATGATTAAAATAAATCATAAATTGTTATTAAACAAGTACCCTTTTGCTAAATACTCCATATCTTTAGATGTAAGATTGATTAAATATAGAATTGTGTATGAGGATAACCTGGATGATCAAAATGTTCCTTAAAGTGGAAAATTGTGATTTGAAGAATTTATTGGGTTGGTCAAAGAGATTAGGCAGCCAATAACATCAGAGACAAAATCTGAGTACTCTTTCTGATCTATGATTGAAATGTCATCATGTTAATTACCCTTTTGGAAACAGTTAAAACAGGTAAATATTTGTATATATAGCAGCCGCATGCACAATCACACAAGCTGTAATTGCTGTAAATACACTGCTTCTTTGAGAATGCTTGAAAGCAAGATAATAAATACACATTTTTTATCCTCCCTTTACGCTTTGCATAATCTTACCGAAAGGAAGATATACATGTTTTTTTTATTTTATTAAAGAGTATAGCACCCTAATCACATATGCAACGACCTGAATTTTAACCATAGAGTAATTATTTAAGAATAAGGGCTATTTGAATAAGCTTTAACTGAAACACTTCTAAAAAAAGAAAAATAAAATTAAAATAAATAATAAGCTAAAACTAATTTATGTGTGATTGGTTAAAAAATAAGATTTTAGAGAAATTAATGAAATACAATTTCTATAAAATATTATGAAAATTTTAATTCATTTTTTCGTACTATATTTTGTTCTCTTACTAGTGATTTGGATAGTTTATCCCAAGGTTGTAATTTGCATTTGCTTACATATGATATTATGTTTTTCAAATTAATACAGTTATATATCCATTATACATATTGTGATTTGAAAACAAATCATTGAAGCTTGTTTATCAATTAAGTTCTAAACTTGATGGAAGCATGTAAAACTTAAAGTAGTTAAAATTAAAGCTAGTGTGAATCATCCACTCTTACGAGATAAAATTGGTCGAATCATTATTTAAATTATTTCAAAAATTTTATGTTGTTGAATTTTTTTCTTTCTAAATTATATATAACTACTTATATATTTTTTATTTTTTTATCAATTATTTTGAATTTATGTACATAAAGTAAGAGTATATTCTTTTGACATAACCATTTTAAGGCATATCATATATACCTGTCATTCGTAACCTTTAAATTTAAAATTTTAATCATATTTTTTATTTTAAAATATTCTTATTTTATATTTTTTCTCTTAAGTATTTTTTTTTTTATATTTTGCTAGAATTTAAAATACACTAATCTATGTTTAAATATCTGATGATGAACAAAAAACACGGAATGGTCGAACTGAAATGAAAATAATACTAATTATTTTTTATTTAAGTACTTTACGATAGAAAAAATATAAATTTTGCATTCTATTTTTAGTAAGTAAATGGAATGGTACAGTTTATAACTTTATTGTTATAATCTTAATTACCCTATTTTAAATATATTAAAATTAATCGTTTATAACTATTAAAATACTTTTTTTTGTTTTATCAAAAGTAAAGACTAAATATGCATAACCAAATGATGCACAAAAAGATGTATATAAAAAAAAAAAATTAAGCATAAAAGGTTAATGGCAGTTTAAATGAATGCTAATGTAAATTAAGTTAACTTGCAATCCAACACAAATCATGAAGTGACATCCTTTATTAAAAGTGCTTTGAATAAACAACTATTTCTGTCCTTTAAATTTTTCTCATCTTACTTAACTTTATCCTAGTTCGTATACTTAAATTAAAAATACGTCATTATGCCCTATATTAATTATCAATAAGTAGTCTATTAGTTCTTAAACTATCAAAAAGAATTGATCACTTTAGACTAATAACATGACCAACTTTTTTAATAGTTCTAGGTGCCTAACAATTATAATGAGTTTTTAAATACAGAAAACAATTTGATGTGGATAGAAAAGTTGAAACACTTAAAATGAATATTTACTCAGATACTAAATGCTTCATGTGATTAAGACGATAAAAATAAAAATAAAAATAATAAAATAAAAAATATGGATCTATCAAGTTGTTGAAAAAGTAAAACGCACTATTGAAGATTCTTTTCAAGGTGTCTGAAGCATGTTGATAAGAGTGCAAAGGATATTCAACAAGCAAGGAAGGGCCCCAATCAACAATGAGATAGATGGCAATTAATCAAGAGATTGAAGAGAATACGTGTGAGTCTCAGAATACGAAAAGTAATTTCATGATTAAGGTAAAAGAATTCAAATTTTCTATTTATTTTCCTTAAATTAATAGTAAAAATAGAGACAAATAATGAAGTAGGATGAATATTATGAGTTTCATTACATGCAAATCTAAAATTTTATTTAATTTCATCCTCTTTTTTCCATTTTCTTT